GTTTATTTACAAACAAATGTTTATATTCTAATTCAGCCATTTTTCTTATATTTTCTTCCCTAGTCGCTTACCTCAATCAAAATTGTTTTGGTGGCACGATACGATTCTTCCCTCCTCACTGTTAATATGTCTTTATAACACAAATTATTTTTATATATTCAAGCTGGTTTCATATTTACAAAAAACAACTTATTCGGTCGATTTCAAAAGTTAACATACATTTCTACGATTTCCGTACCATGGATATGTTATATTGTTTTGAATTTCACTGATGGCTAAGTGACTAGCCGTCTTTATCACTAACCCTCCACCTCTTGAGTCGCGGCTTCGAGATACACGAGGGGCAGTCGCTCCTTATCGCATACCCAGCAGGAAAACAGAGGACATGTTATGTTAGACTTGTGTGAACGTACAGTCATTGGTAGGCCACAAATGATATGATACTGTATTAATGTACCGAATTTGTGTCACAGAAAAAACTTTATAACATATATTTGCAATTTCTTTTTCAAAGACATAGAATATAATGGATTTGGTTTTAAAAGTGTATTTTACCTGGCATGTGTGACAGGAATCGAGAAAAACATTAATCGAGAAAGCGGGTTCTTCATGGGGCATAATAAGCAATACTTAGAATCCTGATAATATTTTGTGTACTCTCCCTTTTTGGTTTTGGTTTTCTTGCCATTGGTCCCCGTATAACCCTGTCTGTTGCGAGGACGTTTAACCCCGTATAGTGAAATTTGCAAACATTCCTTTACAATAGTCGAACCTCATTATCTCGAACTCGTTAAACTTGAAGAAACCCGATTATATCGATTTCGTCGGTCCCTGCCTAACTTCATGACCTCCTTAGGTTTGACAACTTTCCCTATCTTCCAGTAATTTACGCTGTTTAAATATTATCTGTTGAAAATTACGATTTTTTTTATTATTATTTTATCATTGGGACGTGTGTACCTCCTCGTCGAGATATGTATTTTTCTTTCGACCAGATCGTATTTTCCTTACTCGCATCCTTGTCTTCACAACTTTGGCCCTTAGCAACACTGACGATTCCTAGAAGGACAGCACTGCTTATGATGGAGTTCAATTATTGATTCTAAAGTATGTAATTATAAATTTATATTATAATGTGTTATTCACTTTAAACAGTCTCTGATGGTATCACGTGTCTCAGTAAAATCAAGACATGTAGTCTTTTCAAAAAGTACTCGGCAAATAAGACCAGGTGTTCCGGACTGGTAAGCGTTTTCAGATTGTTTGATCATATCCAATAAGTCAGTTGTATGTAAAATGACATGCTAACGTACAACAGAATCTACATCCAAACTCGAATTCATTAACACTATGGCAGAATATGAACAATAGACTGACACTGACAAAGGCGTAGCAAGCCCAGCAGAAATGTGTAAGCCTAGGCGAGAGGTCTGAATTTCATTATTTCAAAGATGTTTTGAATCGTTTTCTGAGACAGTTTTTTTTATTTATTTAACAACAAACTTTAATCCCTGATATTTATTTTCAACCTTAATTTTGTAATTTTGTCCGACATACTCTATACACAGATTTTTTTTATGTGTAAGCCCGGGATTTTTTTTTTCTATGGAAGCTACGCCCCTGACTGGGACTCATGGAAATGTACAATGAAGAAAAGGTTTTCGGAAGAGTAAGTTCTGCTTCTTAGTCAATCCTAGAAAGTAATGTCACTTTCCCAAACGGAACTATCAAGTTTACTACCGAGCATCAAACAAATCTAAGTTAATATGGTATCAGGAGACAGAAATTTTCCTTAAAGAGGTCATTATGACGACCGTAAAACTTCCCCATCATTTCTATCAACCTGTATATGTTGTGAATTGGTCAGTTGCATACATATTCCACGAAAATGATGATACTGAAACAAACTCTTGAATATCGGATCAACTATGATATAAAACACAATGTAGATACAGGGTTATCGCGCTCAACAAACAGAAATTTTCCTGTATATAAATTCGGAGATTAAGATCATTACGTTTATGGGGTTGGGAACTTTGCCAAGTCCCTGTGATATGAAACTCAAGTTGCAAAAACTCATTGTGGTACTTTATATATGTACCAGAATTTAAATTAAAACAAACAGGTCTGTTTATTCATTTGCTTTATTAAAAAGACACAAAGTAAACACTATCAATAAATATTTCATTCATTCATTCCTTCGTTCATTCATTCATTCATTCATTCATTCAATGCAACCTGTTTCTTATCTACAAGAACTTACATTTTCACACACACAAATATATCTCATAAACAAAGCACATGACATTTCAATAAGAGAGAATCTGTCAAATCACACAATTATAGTATACAATATCTTCCCTCCTTTCACCATTACAAAGTACTAGACTCAAATCACACAATTATAGTATACAATATCTTCCCTCCTTTCACCATTACAAAGTACTAGACTCAAATCACACAATTATAGTATACAATATCTTTCCTCCTTTCACCTTTCACCGTTACAAAGTACTAGACTCAAATCACACAATTATAGTATACAATATCTTTCCTCCTTTCACCATTACAAAGTACTAGACTCAAATCACACAATTATAGTATACAACATCTTTCCTCCTTTCACCATTACAAAGTACTAGACTCAAATCACACAATTATAGTATACAATATCTTTCCTCCTTTCACCTTTCACCGTTACAAAGTACTAGACTCAAATCACACAATTATAGTATACAACATCTTTCCTCCTTTCACCATTACAAAGTACTAGACTCAAATCACACAATTATAGTATACAATATCTTTCCTCCTTTCACCATTACAAAGTACTAGACTCAAATCACACAATTATAGTATACAACATCTTTCCTCCTTTCACCATTACAAAGTACTAGACTCAAATCACACAATTATAGTATACAATATCTTTCCTCCTTTCACCTTTCACCGTTACAAAGTACTAGACTCAAATCACACAATTATAGTATACAATATCTTTCCTCCTTTCACCTTTCACCGTTACAAAGTACTAGACTCAAATCACACAATTATAGTATACAATATCTTTCCTCCTTTCACCTTTCACCGTTACAAAGTACTAGACTCAAATCACACAATTATAGTATACAATATCTTTCCTCCTTTCACCTTTCACCGTTACAAAGTACTAGACTCAAATCACACAATTATAGTATACAACATCTTTCCTCCTTTCACCATTACAAAGTACTAGACTCAAATCACACAATTATAGTATACAATATCTTTCCTCCTTTCACCATTACAAAGTACTAGACTCAAATCACACAATTATAGTATACAACATCTTTCCTCCTTTCACCATTACAAAGTACTAGACTCAAATCACACAATTATAGTATACAATATCTTTCCTCCTTTCACCTTTCACCGTTACAAAGTACTAGACTCAAATCACACAATTATAGTATACAACATCTTTCCTCCTTTCACCATTACAAAGTACTAGACTCAAATCACACAATTATAGTATACAATATCTTTCCTCCTTTCACCTTTCACCATTACAAAGTACTAGACTCAAATCACACAATTATAGTATACAATATCTTTCCTCCTTTCACCTTTCACCGTTACAAAGTACTAGACTCAAATCACACAATTATAGTATACAATATCTTTCCTCCTTTCACCTTTCACCGTTACAAAGTACTAGACTCAAATCACACAATTATAGTATACAACATCTTTCCTCCTTTCACCATTACAAAGTACTAGACTCAAATCACACAATTATAGTATACAATATCTTTCCTCCTTTCACCATTACAAAGTACTAGACTCAAATCACACAATTATAGTATACAACATCTTTCCTCCTTTCACCATTACAAAGTACTAGACTCAAATCACACAATTATAGTATACAACATCTTTCCTCCTTTCACCATTACAAAGTACTAGACTCAAATCACACAATTATAGTATACAATATCTTTCCTCCTTTCACCTTTCACCGTTACAAAGTACTAGACTCAAATCACACAATTATAGTATACAACATCTTTCCTCCTTTCACCATTACAAAGTACTAGACTCAAATCACACAATTATAGTATACAACATCTTTCCTCCTTTCACCATTACAAAGTACTAGACTCAAATCACACAATTATAGTATACAACATCTTTCCTCCTTTCACCATTACAAAGTACTAGACTCAAATCACACAATTATAGTATACAATATCTTTCCTCCTTTCACCTTTCACCATTACAAAGTACTAGACTCAAATCACACAATTACAGTATACAATATCTTTCCTCCTTTCACCTTTCACCATTACAAAGTACTAGACTCAAATCACACAATTATAGTATACAATATCTTTCCTCCTTTCACCATTACAAAGTACTAGACTCAAATCACACAATTATAGTATACAACATCTTTCCTCCTTTCACCATTACAAAGTACTAGACTCAAATCACACAATTATAGTATACAACATCTTTCCTCCTTTCACCATTACAAAGTACTAGACTCAAATCACACAATTATAGTATACAACATCTTTCCTCCTTTCACCATTACAAAGTACTAGACTCAAATCACACAATTATAGTATACAACATCTTTCCTCCTTTCACCATTACAAAGTACTAGACTCAAATCACACAATTATAGTATACAACATCTTTCCTCCTTTCACCATTACAAAGTACTAGACTCAAATCACACAATTATAGTATACAATATCTTTCCTCCTTTCACCTTTCACCGTTACAAAGTACTAGACTCAAATCACACAATTATAGTATACAACATCTTTCCTCCTTTCACCATTACAAAGTACTAGACTCAAATCACACAATTATAGTATACAACATCTTTCCTCCTTTCACCATTACAAAGTACTAGACTCAAATCACACAATTATAGTATACAATATCTTTCCTCCTTTCACCTTTCACCATTACAAAGTACTAGACTCAAATCACACAATTGTAGTATACAACATCTTTCCTCCTTTCACCATTACAAAGTACTAGACTCAAATCACACAATTATAGTATACAACATCTTTCCTCCTTTCACCATTACAAAGTACTAGACTCAAATCACACAATTATAGTATACAACATCTTTCTTCCTTTCACCATTACAAAGTACTAGACTCACAAAGTGTAATCTCATTTATATGCAGCATTCTTGCCCTCATACATGTGTGTAGTGATACATAAATTAATTATAACTATATTTCCACAGAAAAGAATCCCTTAATGTATTTGTATCTAGGCATCAACTTTTAAGATATTCTCATACTTTTCAAAGAATTCCTCATTAAGCTGTCCTATCACAAATACTGATAACCTGTTATTGCTACAGATGCTGGAGTTTCTTCTGTTCTTCAATGGTAAAAAATAGTGTACTTTCACATGTCTTTGGAAACCAATATTTGTTTGCCTTTTATAAAATAACTTTATCTGTCATTTTTTTTTTAAAAAATGAAACATTTAAGCAGATAAATTCGAAAATGATCATGAAGAAAAAAATCAAACGTACAAATATAGCAGTTTCAACATTCTATCAATGTCTTTTTGTATAAATGTGGATTAATGTGATCAAACTTACACATAATGAAGCTGATTTCTGTATTTATCATGGTTCCTTTTACTGCAAACATCCTGAACAAAATAGTAGCATACAGAATACGTATGGTGATATTCTGGTGGCTAGCATATCACTAGACTCAAAGTCAAGGGTTGGGCTTATTACCAGACATGGGCTTATTACTGGAACCATAGAGTAGTAATACATAAATATACATCTAGATAAGCATTTAACAGAGTCATTCAGGGAGCATTCCTCATATAACAATTCAAAAGTTACATTGTATAGTTGGTGATATTCACAGGGGGGGTTAATCTAGTGCAAAATCAAATACCCAGTTTATCGTTTATAGTCAATCAAATTTCAGAAAATGTATTACACATTATCAGGAGGAGGTGCCCAAAACTTAAACTTTGTAAACTCGCCACAACCAGGAAAACAATAACATATTTTATCTGTGAAATTTGACAACTATACAGTACAATGTTTTAAACACTGTTGAATATAAATCAGTTTACTCATATAACTGATGAAATAATTTCTTTTTTTCTATCTTTAAAATTCTGGGATGTTGCATTGTCCATTTAACAAAACACTAAATCATATAAAACATACTACACCAAAATCATCATCTACTGTAGAAAAACTGTGTCAGGATTATGAATAATGATGAAGGACAAACCTGTGTATACAATGCAATATTTTTGTACATATAAAAATATTTTCTATGGCTGGTTACTTCAGAGAAGATGAATTTCTCAAACAATTTAACCAGTATCTTAGATATAATTTTTTATCATTTTATTTATGTCTATACTGTGTGAAACCCCTCCTGCTTGAGGAAACAATATTGTTCGAGACGGCTGAACCCACAATTTATAAATAAACAATTCATATATATATATATAATGTATATACTTGCTATATAGCACAAAATGTAAATATATACATATATCTATATACTCAGTGGGGAAATAAAATATTTGTAATGCAGGGAAAAAAACAAAACAAAAAACAAAACAGAACAAGAAACCAAATCTTGAAAGTTTCAAGTAGTAAACAGATATTCTAGCAAAGAAATCTGGGATACTGACTGTTGAAACAAATACCCATAAAAAATTATTATTAGTTTTGTACTTAAATTTAAAAGACAATCAAGGTCACACTCCTAGCTATGGTGTAAATGAGAGGTATAAGTCTTGTCTGTGGATACACACAGCGTTATATAGCTGTGGTATAAAATACTGCCGTCAGTCCAGAACCTGTCTATATAAATCTGTATTATTGATGTAAGAACACTCCCGTCGGTCCAGAACCTGTCTAGAATCTGCCGGAGAAAAAGATGTCTAATTATCACCTATGACGAGATCTAGTGAAAACCTAGTACATTTGCCTCATCAACACCAGACACTTGTCCACACCAACAAATCTGAAACAAAAACAACAAATGGTATATCCAATGCTATGAAAAATCTAGGAAATATTCAGAGTTTGATGTCGCAGCAAAACACTAAATACCAGTTTATAAAACAACAAAGCTCCTGTATGAACAAACCATAAATTTCACTCTCACCAGAGCATCATGCACCTGACTGACAAAAGGGTATTTTATAGACAAGAGTCATTCCCGGGTCACTGCCCTGTATTGGTTGGGTTGTGTCCTGAAAGGTCAGTGTCATGCACTTTGTAGATTGACAAGTACATATTCAACCCTCCAGCATTCAAGCTTTATTACAGAGAACCCCTTATGCATTTTTTTGCAGATCAAGTTTTATGTTTTTTTTTCTCAAAAATTAACTACACATAGTATTTTGTTTATTTGTGGATGAAGAATAATTGAGAAACTATGAATAACACTACAAAATTGATTTGCTTAAAAAATTGTGTCGATCTTAATTCATGGACACATGAATTCATGGTATAAATCAAAGTATAAAGTTCTTGAAAATTCTTGAAAAGATTTCATAAAGAAGTCAATAGACTATCAGCTCAGGCTGACAGGAATTTTCAATGTTCTCAACTTCTTCCAGACTTTTCCTTTGACATACAAGTATTTTTATTTCATTTTTTTCCCTTTCTTGTTTTAAAATCAAGTAAAAAAAGCAACATAGAAGATATAGATTGAGAGAATTTGGCTCTATTGCTTAAATCTAAAAATAAATACGCAGGAAATGGATAGTCAAGATTTTAAGAATTTTTCTTTATAAAATTCACCATAATTATTCAGGGAATGCCACGTGGAAGGATAAAGGAGAGGCGATCTCCTAGTTCTCCCCAAGTCACTCGATTTGTCTGAAATATCACAACCCATGTGATAATGATCGCCAGCCATATCACTGTCCCCACTATTGATCGAATCACATCTGCAACAAAAGAACCACAAAAATATGTATAAAAAATTCTTATCAACATGTTGTCTGGTATATGATTTAGATGGGAAATAGAGTCAGATTTACATAAGTGTGTGCTATGTGTTCAAAGCAAATAAATTTGTGCAGTTATCATCAGTGTCACTTCCTGTCAAAATTTGAAACAATTTTCTTAACTTTGCCAACGAAACCATGACATTCTAATTATAATAAGTAGACTTTAGTGTTCCCATACTAAGCTATAAACATGAACTTGATACATTTGTTTACAAATTATAAAGTTTTATCTAAGTTTTAACTTGTAACCACAAGACACATCTGTATCAGCTGATAGGAGCTAACCAATGGTATTGATACAAAAGAAAGCATGTAACAAAGGTTAAGCATGACCTTTGATCCCTCTACTATGACCTATGACCACCCAATCAGATACCGTAAAAACCCATGATCAGATATATGTTATAGTGATCTATACAAGTTTGACACATCTTCAAACAAATAAAATCAACATGTCCACATCGGTTTCTGCTTTAAATTTTCCAAGTCCCTATATTTGTTTTTCCCAAAAATTGACATGTTGACATCTATTTCTATTCTTAAACTTACATGTTCTTATCTGTTTCTGCTCCTGATAACTGGGTTGGATGAAAGCTTCCTTGAAAAACCAGACTGAGTTTACAAACCACAGGAATGGCAAAAGGGCGAACCCACCTGTAACAAAAAGCCAACGATGAGGGGACATGACAAAGAGTTTCCTCTGACTCCCAGATATACCAGGCAAAGTAATACGATAGTAGGAGCGGAAAAATGAGCGGCCAGACTGGGGTTCGAACCCAGAACCTTCCGACCTCTGGACAGATGCTCTACCAAATGAATTAACTGGTGGCCGACGATTGACCCAGTCCAGTTCTGCTACAGGATATTACACAAATTAAAATATCAACTAATGTCATATATTGCTTCAACGATAAATATAAACTATCATTGCACATTTTTTAACCACTTGGATTTGAATCAAATGTATAGATCTATATACCAATAGTAACTTTTCTCAAAATATTCTTAACCAACTTACCAATATAATATTTTCTGCACAAAGACAGTTTATCCTCATTACTGACTCGCTTAAGATCCATCTTGAAATTTTCAACTAAAAAGAAAAATTTATTGATAATTGCATTTATAAAAAAACAAAGCTCATTGCTTCTGAATCAAAACAGGACTTATTACAGGAAAATGAAATAGTGTCTGTTGGCTCAAAGCATGTTTGTACTTATGATTTATAAAGATAATCACTTAACAGTGATTAATGAAAACATTAACTTGTTACCATTGACAAAACAAGGACTTCCTAAGAAAATGGAAACTCTAAAATATATAAATCTGACCTGTCTGAACAAATCTACAGCTGTGTAATGAGGAATGAATGTTCCAAATTTTGTTTAATTCATATTGGAGTTTTTAAATAAAAAAAAAATGGTTAACATTAATTACCATGCCTTGAGCAACTGAGGCAAAATGCAGTTTTGATGAGGAGTCCAGATAACCATTTAAATAAATCATGATGAGTCCAGTTTTAAAGAGATATATTGGGTAGTCAAAGTTTGAGTGAGTCACACAAGAAAAGCACAAGTCCAGGACTCAAATATTTGAGTCCCAAAAATCAGTCAAAACAGTATGCATTGAATGGCTGTCAGTGGCAAAAATTGATTTTAATCTATTGAAGTACATATATATTGCCGTGATCTGTTTTCACTTTTAGAGGTTTGGTATATCTCTTCCAGTGTCATTGAATGTGCATATAATTTGGGTGACCATTTGTAAATCAGTGTATTAAGATTTCAAGGCTTACCAATTATGACGTTTAATAATAATGATAACAGTAACAACATATAGTGATAAAACCTAAGTGATATGTTACTGTCGTTTAATGTAATAAACTTTACAATGTGAATTTTAGTGAATATAGACTGAAATGATCCACAAACAAAAACAAAAACCCGAAAATAGTGGTCGTGCTGGTGAATCATACAAATTTGGGTTCAGTACACCGGTGTACGTAAACAGCTAACTGACAATTTTTGAAAGATGAGGAGTGTATAACAAGGAAATGTGGTCTAATGTTTCAATTTTACCTTAAGATTAATCAGCTTCGTTTCACAAAACCTCCGTTCTATAGAAATTATTATATTACCTTTTTACTGTATTCCAATCCACACTTCCGTAATGTGTAAAACGTCATTGATTTTGACGTACACGCAAATATCTGTGTCAGCAACACGCTCTTTCAGACACAAACTTCCTTCTAACGCTGATCAACATTAGCACGCACGGAAAATGGCTGAGTATTTGGCGTCGATTTTCGGCACAGAAAAAGACAAGTTAGTATTAATTTGAAAGTGTATGGCGAGAAGTTATAATAACAATGCTTTTTCCTTTCATCTTAGAGAATACCAACATGCATGTATTTGTCGTATAAGCTGTTATTTTGGGTTGAAGGCCAATGTTTTTGTTTCATGGCATCGCCTACAAAACAAAAATCAATAAATTATAATTTGTCTTGAACAGCTATGTTCTCGATTCAATATGAGGCTGTTACATCACTCATTTATTTGCAAAGGTACTTTTGTATAAATATAAATAAATCGGCAAATTATGAATTGTGGTGAAGTGCACGTAAAAGGCCGACTTGGAAATGGGACGAGTTGGTTCGCAAACGTTTGTAGCAAACCCATAAGTACGTCTTATAGGTCTATTAGCATTTCGCCTGGTAGCAGGTTATATTAAATAAATGGTTTGTCTTGATTCACTAAGGTATCTGTTTGATTTGATTTTCATACTACATATGGATCTATACAGACACATTTGTGCAATACGTGATGGCGTTGCAATGATTCGAATTGGAAATTGGGACGAGTTGACTCGTAAAACGTTTTGAAACGTTTGAAGTATACACTAATTACATGGATGATCTAATAATAGCATAATAGCGACGCCACTTGTATTTAGCTGGTCATTTAAAAGAAGTTGTATTGCTGGTGGTCATCATATTCCAATGGTCTATTTTTGAGTTGTAACTGAATTGTAGATCTGTATATGTGTATTTCAAGACAATGATTAAAGGAAAATGATTAAACTGTCATATTTCGTTATTTTTCAGAGTAAATTGTTCATTTTACTTCAAAATTGGAGCATGTCGACACGGAGAAAGATGTTCTCGTCTCCATAACAAACCAACATTCAGTCAGGTATTTAAATATGTTGTCAAACAGTAAGTTTGAACTGCAGATTAACATACATTTTATAAACATACAGCAATTGTAACCAGATTCTCAAGCTATACTGTATTATCAATACCTAGCTTTAAATCAACACATGCATTTTTAAGATGATATGATGAAACCCCCATTGAAATTTATACTTAAATAGAAAATGTAAGGCCAATTAAAATGGAATATGCCATGCAATACTTTCTCACATTATAATTGATTAAACCTTGGTTAATATAATCAAATTAAGATGGTCCTTATTCCTAATATCTATAGTATGTAGTGCTTGTTTGACAGTGACTTACAAGGCTTTTTACACTGCAGACTGTACTGATCCAGAATCTATACCTGAACCCACAGAATGCTGCGTTAACCGCTGACGGCTCTCACAGTGAGTAGAACACATAACATGTAATAGCACATACAATGTTGTAACAGATTTTATCTCTCTTATCCATACCTGAAGTTGCTGTATCAAACTTTTGTCAAAGTTAAAATACAGATGGTTAATATTGACCCTGCTGGCTTCAGTTTTTCAAAATATTGATGAAAATATATGATTATATACATTTCTACAATAATTTCTGCAATATTGAAATTAAAGAACTATAAAATGGGAGGCCAGAAGTAACTGAATTATTTTTTGAAAATAAGAAAGTAAACATTGCTTGACATCAAAAGATCATTTTGGGTAGAGGTTTGATGTTTCAAAGTTTAAATTTAGATTGAAGTCAACCATAAGGACATACAGCAGCTGAAGGATGAATTTTTCATTTGGTGTTGTGGTAACATAATTGTCAGCCTTGTGTTGTGGAACAAAACATCTCAGACTATTTTTAATTTTTGTAGACTTTATAGCTGATGATGTATCTTGATCCCAGAAAGCAATATTTTGCAGTAAAATTCTTAACAAGCAGGGCATTTATGCTGCAAAGTAATGTGAATCCTAATTACTGTATGGGACTTGATTAAGTTTTAAATCTTTAAATACCTTTTTTTCTCTCTGCTTTAGTGAGTCTAAGTTATGGTAAACCTTTGGTCAGTTTGAATATGGAATAGTTCAAACACAATTTTTGCAATAATAATGATAATTTACTGTCTAGTGATAGTTTGAACCCTCAGTAATCTTGTTTCTCTTGCAATTCAAAATGTTCTTCCACATTTTGAGATCACATATATAACAATTTGTAAAAATTGGTGTGTTAAGAATAAAATTATACACATAAATGACATTGAATTGGCATTGACTCAGTGTGATTGGTTTCATGTCTTACCATCACATTGTGTTCGTGACAGCTAACACAACTTGAGGCTCCAACTCTGTGTTACAAATGATTCATATACAGACCATAGAATATTGGTATCTGTAGTGTCGATGAGCAGCAGTGTTTCATTTTAATTTAATTTTCATTTTATTTTGTTTGAACTGACCGAAAATTTACCGTATGCTAACTGTCTTGATTTAATGGTTTTAAGAAGTTAGTTCTTTTTGGTAAGGTTTAAAAGACATTAATTAATTGGATTTTTTTTCATCCATTGCAATCAATATTATTTTTTTTTTAATGCAAAAAAAAGAAAATTAAAAAGAGATATATTTATTGTTTAATCTGCATGTCATATACTCAGTAAATTTTCATTCTTTGTTGAAGTTTATATTGCCAGTACAAAATGTGTACACTTAGTCAGGAAAAAGAAGTCTTTGTGCTTCAGAACTCAGAATCATGTCTGTATTGTCTACTTCAGAAAATTGCTACAATTTCTTTTTTCTTTAAATTGGTTGATTCAATTAACATATTGTATATAAATATAATGATCATGAATTTATTTACACTTAAAACAACTATTAATACTCCACTTTTTTTCAACAGCTGTTTTCTACAAATATCTCTTTGTGTTTTTTGTGATACATATTTTAGCCTTTCTGTAGTAGTAGAATTGACTATGACCGGGCCGTTTGGGTAATGCCCATATTTATCAAAAATTTGATATAGAGCTGGTATTAAACAATAAGACATCTACAATTATAAACACTTTGTGGGTCTTTATGTGTTTTTATTGGTGATTTATGATTTTTAATAATTTTCCGTTTTATTTTCCTTTCAGTTTTGTTATGATTTTGTTTAATTCTTAGTGCCTGTGTCCTGGAATATAGCTGTATCTCTGTGTTGCAGAATCTCCCCAACAGAGGCAAAACATCTTTGTCGTAATACAAATATGGGTCTTTCAAAATCCAGTCTATCCAGTATGTATCCTAAATGATGCATTGTTATCAATAATCAACATGACAGAAAACGTATGATGTCATATATGCCTACTTTACTCCTTAACCAATTTCTTATAATTAATTTTCTGACAGTCTCTTTTAAATTAAGTCCTTGGAATAGATTCTTTAAGACAAAAATATCCTATTTTAGAAATGAAAATGTTTGCATTGTTAAATACTAAATTTCCGAGACCTGTAATACAGTATCATGGACAAATGTTTTACCCCTGGTCAACTGTAAACGAGATTATATTTTGTTTATAAGATATTTGCATGGATATGTAGCTTGAGTGTAGCGTGCCTGTAGATTTAGTCTGTGTTTTAGTTGCATGATTGCTTGTTTGAATGACCAGCATCTCTGCATGACTCATTGTTGTGGTGTAAATCATGAAGTACACATCTGGTTAGGTTTGTTCACAATGTTCAACAATCAATGTTTACATAACATGAATATAAAAATATGATTTTATGATTTTTGATTTGTTAATGTTAAAATAATATTCTGGAAAAAAGCACATGAATATTTACAAGAGCATTTTTTTTAAAGTTAACAATTTCTTGTACAATCATATTACATTATTACATGAATGGACTTCTCTTTATATCCCTTTAATATACATTATAAATAAATAAAAAAGATGTTTTAAAAAAATATGATAATTTCATTTGTGTACTTTATCTGTTTACAAGCTTGCTAATATGGACTAATCTAGGGTTTGTACCACAAAAGTAAAGATGAAATACCTGAAAGACTATGCTATAAATTATTAATCAAAGGAATGCTTTGATAGTAATTAACAATTGTTAACTCCATATCAAGGCCATATAAAAGATGTTTCCACTTTTATTGTAAAATTTCAACTATTTTCCCTAATTATTTTGGTGCTGATATTATCTTGGAAAAGAATCGGGTGTTAACAGTAAATGATGAGTAGACATGTAAGACGTGGAATCTATAACAATGAAGTAAATGTTTATTTAGGGAGTTATGTGCTGTTGAAGCAGTTTCATTCATGAACACATATTCAACTAAATTTGGTTGTCCAACTTATTCTACAAATTGCTACTAGGGAAACTGAACACATTTCGACTAAATTTGGTCAGAAGAATCATTGGGAGCAGGGCATTAGTTTTATTATAAAGGTTGTGCTGGCTCCCTTGGGTCTGAGGGATGGAGTCCAAATTTGTCACATTCTTTAAATTCCTTGTTCCTCTGTGGGAATGTTGGGATTCAGTCCCAATTTGGTCTGAAGCATCCTTGTGTGAAGAGAATCAGTTTTGTACAAATGGTTGGTCTTGGCTCCCTGGAGTAGAGGGGAAGGCCCCAATAGGAGAAATAGAGCCAATTCTTTAAATCATTTTCCTAGGAAGCAGGGAAATCGATTTTGTATAGGGAGTGGGTCTCAGGTCCATTTGAATGGAAGGGGTAGACCTAAATAGAGGGAAAAATTTTAGAAGACATGAAAATAGCATGTGTAATGTGTGACAAGATCATTGATGAGCACATTCAACATAGACTGATAAATAGACATCAGAATTTGCAATTTTAAACAACAGAAAGACAATTGTTTTTAAATTGATAATTGTGCCATCTTGACTGTTTGAAACCAAAGTAAAATGCCTTTTATCTGGCCTTGTAAGAATTAACTGCACTGTATGGTTGATTGTGAGCGCTAACATGTTTGTTTCAGTCGCTATGGATGACGTGGAGGCACAACAGGACTTTGATGATTTTTTTGAGGAAGTATTTTGTGAATTAGAAGACAAGGTAAAGTCTTGTTCAAATTTAGACCTTAAATATTACGATGATTGTGGACCAACTTCTCCGCCAAAATCGCTTCAGAGTTTTCTCCAACTTCCTTTATCAACATTTTGAAGTTTGATTTGTTTAAATATTTGACAATTTAAAGAAAATACTTTTAGATGGTGAAATGGTAGAACAAAATTTTATTAATGTTATTTATCATTACTTACTGTGGTAAGGGCTTGCAGTCAAGACAGAACTTTAACTTACGGAAAGAGGTGAGCTTGTTCACAACAGGGAAATAACTCATAGAAGGGGGATCGGCACGAGGAAAGGGAAGTAATTCGTGGAAGGGGGTGGCTTATTGGACAAGGAAATAACTCATAGAGGGGGGATGGGCACAAGGACAGGGAAGTAATTTCTGGAAGGGGGTGGCTTATTGGACAAGGATGTAATTCGTGGAAGGGGATGGCTTATTGGACAAGGATGTAATTCGTGGAAGGGGATTGCTTATTGGACAAGGATGTAATTTGTGGAAGGGGGTGGCTTATCGGACAAGGATGTAATTCGTGGAAGGGGATGGCTTATTGGACAAGGAAATAACTCATAGAAGGGAGGTGGGCACAAGGACAGGGAAGTAATTTGGAAGGGGGTGGCTTATTGCAGGACAAGGATGTAATTCGTAGAAGGGGTGGGGAATAACTCAATGAAGGGGATGGGCTTATTGCAAGACTGTTAAATAGCTGTTCTTAACATTTTGACTCAACTGAAATGTACATTACCATACACAAGTTGTTTATCCAATATATAGGATTGTGTTTTTAATCTTTCTTTAACAGACTCTTTTGAAGTTTGTGGACATCAGTGTTGATGTAAGTTTGGAATATTGACTGAAATTGAATTGATGAGAACTTCATAGCGAATATAGTTTGGCGAGAGGTTGGTTTGATATATATAAGAGTGTGTCTAGAAACATTTACTGTGATTGTGTCAAAACTAGATACACTCTTGTATATAAATCCTTAATATGGCTTCTTTGAATTTCAGATCACATAAGATTGACAGAACAAAATGGTTTGATTTTTTCAGTCAAGAAAACTTTTACAGGAGATACATGTAACATCCTCATATTTATCGAGCACACACCCTGATTATTTAACCAGCATAACATCTGCTATTACAATATTTCCAGGAATGATCACCCAGGAACTTTAAAATGTGTATAAATTATATAAAGAAATAAAAAAAGAGACCATTCTTAAATATTTTTGAAGTTTTTCTTGACTTAAAAAACAGAATTATTATTAAACTCTGACCATTTCTGGTATGTATATATTGTTGCTTGACCAAATAAATTCAAAAGAAAAATTCCAAACAACCGAGTACAGTCCTATTTACAGCAAGAATGGACATCAAATTAACTTTGTAAATACATAACATTTGTATAGGAAAAGTTAAAAGTTCTATTCCTATAGTTTTATAGATTTTGTTTAAGGGTTTTGCTCTATTGTATAGATATCAGATTTGGTCATTGTTTAAACTGTCATGATCATGATACAAAGAAGACTGGCTGTCCAATCGGAATGCAGTATCAACAGATCTCAGCCAATCAAATGGCAGTGTAAGTCCATTGAAGTTGTTTGGGAGAGGACACATATGAGTTACTTTGAGTGCTTGTTTTTGTTTTTAGTCCAAATGGATGAGTTAGCTATACAGCAGCACTATGATGAGTTCTTTGAAGAAGTCTATGTAGAAATGGAGAAGGTAGGCAACCTCAATGTAATATTCAACTTGAATACAATGTATAGTACATAGAAAGTGAAAGTAAACTTACGCGTGATGTAATGTGCATGGAAAATGAAAGTAAAATTACCCAATGATGTATAAAGGAAATGAAAGTAAAATTACCTAGTGAAGTTCTCTGTATAGGAAATTAAATAATAGTTGCCCATTATATATTTTGTCTAGAAAACAAAGTAATTTTGACAATGACCTGACGTGTGAATATCTAGCTTCCACATATAAACTTAAGTCAGTGATGTTGATATCCACAATTTGGCTATAAGGATAATCTAGCTTAAAAAAACCAATAAAAAGCAAAAGAATTTCTTCAGGTATTTGGTCATACTGTGACCTTGACCCTTTGTTTCAATTGCTGTCTGATTAGGACAATAGTAATAATAGGTAAATAACAAGATTGCATTTGAACGGATTTTGCAATATATACTGTATCACAGTGAAACTTGTGACCAAAGGAACAGGTAAGTTAATTAAGCTGCTGACTGCTGTGTCACCAGGTAAAAGTTCTGTGATGTGTTTTCCAACATCACCTTACCATTTTATCAGCGATATCCATTGATTGGAAGTGGCAGTAATCTTGTCAAAATGGGCTAGAAACTTCAGAAAAATGAAGATGATCATTTAAAACTCAGATATGTAGGCAGAAATTTAAACAAATTTTAGAATGTTTATATTTTGCTAGAAATTTTTGTCATAAAAATGTCCTAGAAAGAGAAACATATGTTGAGGCATTCTCTCATTGCGGGAGAAAGTAACTTTGTAGAATCAATAACTGTATGTACATGTGCAATATACAACACAAGTGCAGACATTGTATACATAATACTTTTATGTTTTAAGGATTAAATTACTATTGAAAAAATGAGAAAGGTTTCAATGTTAAATAGATGAAGATTAGCTATATAAGTGTATGTGTAGTTCCTTTATTTATTGTGCTCACATCCAAGCCAAAGTCTTAGAATGGTATATGATGGACAGATTTAGTTACTCACTACAGTTACTGGTTGGAAGTCTAGACCTCACAATAGTTTACTAATGCAGTCACTGATGGCTCCACTGGTTAGCCTAGATACTGGGATAGCAAATGTTAAATGTCTGGTGTTACTGAAGGCCTAAGTCTAAAACTTGGAAGGGTATGTAAACCTATCCATGTAGAGTAGGTAATCGCTTTGGTCACTGACAGTCCGAGACATACCATCGTCTCTAAAGGGAGTACTAGCCTATTGATTTACATAGGTGCTCACAAGGGCGATTGACATCAAGTTTCAATAATGACATGGATTTGAACCTACATGTACCTTCTTTTTGTTTTAATGCAAAAAAATGTTACTTTTATATTTTTGTAGACAGATCTGAACTCATTCCACATTCATCAGCAATCTTGTATTAATTCATTGTCATTCGCTTCAATTTAAATCATCCTTGTTTGGAATTCTTTGGATATTCTTTTTCTGTCAGATGGGCTCAACTTCGAATATGATGCTAACCTGTCATGCTTGTACATTTATTTTATTTGTGTCGTCATATGAGGAATTTACCACAGGTAATATATAGATAAAATGAAAGTAGACATATAATTATTTGGTGTGATTTCAGTATGGTGAAATTGAAGAAATGAATGTCTGTGACAACCTTGGAGATCACTTGGTGGGGAATGTCTACGTAAAGGTAAGATTCCCACAGCCATCATTAATACCAATAGATTATATATGAGTGGTCAGCTGGCCCATTTGTAACACATGGCTTTCACCTAGATGTCCTGGGTTCGACCCTTTGGTTACTTCCATCTTTGTAACAGAAGTGATTAATATAAGTTGGAATATTTTACTTCACATTTGTAAAATAAATGAAGTTTTAAGTACAGTGTAATAGTGTAATGTTCTGGTCTTTTAAACAAGTCATATTAGTATTGTCATCAAGTTCTCAAAATAAGGTACTGGATTTAAATTATCAGCTGTGTGTAATTTGTTCATCACACTTTTCAATTTCTGTGCTACTAGTCTAGTTTTAATACCTTTAAGTAAGCCATTTTCACATATTGGAGGATCACTTGCTTTCTCGAAAATTCTCATTTAGTTTACGATTGGAATGCTACTGAATCAAAAAGTTGTTTATTCTGTGGTACTAAATTGTAATGATTATCCGGGCAGCTAGAAGAAATGAGCCTTTTTCAGTAATTGTTATACAAAGTTAAAAGCAATCCTATGTAAAATTAAGAAAAAAATCGGGGGGAAAATAGGATGATTAGGGATACAGGACCCCATCAGGATTATCCCAGTGTTGTATTTAAAAAAGGAGAGAAATATCACATAACCAGCCTATTTTGTCACGTCGTATGGCCATGTCATAAGTATTGCAAGTCACATGTGTAATCATACTACTGTAACGTCATAAATAGGGAACATCTTAATTGTGTCATGGTTGTCTCGGTAGAGAATTTCTTTCTCTCTGATAGAGAACTAAGTTTGTCTCGGTAGAGAATTTCTTTCTCTCTGATAGAGAACCAAGTTTGTCTCGGTAGAGAATTTCTTTCTCTCTGATAGAGAAATAAAGTTAGAGAGTTTTCAGAAAGTTTTTGTGAGCTTGTGATAAATAGAATCTTACACTCATGCAACTTCAGTATGGAATTCAATACACTTCTGAAAAACCGTTGATGTGTTGCTCGCCTAATGGCTCGTGATGTTCTATACTGCATCAACATGAGCATAAGATCAGCTAAATCTGTTAACTGAGACAGCCAGTAGCTCAGCCTTTCTGTTACTATACCTATATCAGTCAGATTATATTGTGTTACAGTACCGCTATGAAGAGGATGCTGAGAAAAGTATGAACGACTTGAACAATCGTTGGTTCAATGGTAGACCTGTCCATTCGGAATTATCCCCAGTCACAGACTTTCGGGAGGCATGCTGTCGTCAGTATGAGATGGGGTAAGTAGAATTCTTAGACTTGCATCAATACCGATGCTCAGTAGAACTGGTCCATAGGACTATTGTAATCAAAAATATTAACTTTTATAGAATCAGTGAAATGCTGTAAAAAGAGGTTGTTGTTTCCATGGGGTATTTTACAATATTTTCGAGGTTGGAACAAACTAAGTTGAAAATAAGATTAACAGAAAAAACGTATAGTTGGTTTCCTAACATTTTTATGTGGAGCTTTTAACACTACAGAAACTTGAAATATTAAGAAAAACAGCATCTTTGAAAAAAAAATTTAATTTGATTTGGCCTATAAAATTTACCTTTATTAAAAGTTAAATCTTGGGTATTGGGTATGAGGTATGATCGAAAAGCAATAAATGTGTCATCAGTAAATTAAATCTGTTTGTTTCGTCCACAGAGAATGTACCCGAGGGGGATTCTGCAACTTTATGCACTTGAAGCCAATTTCAAGGGAGCTCCGGCGTGAACTTTACGGTCGCAGCAGGAAGAAGAGGAGGTAAGGCTGTTTCTATATTTTATGGTGCAAAGTGATTTTGTAAAATTAAAAATGAGGGCAAATGTTTATAGGAATTTATAACTAAATTGTCTGACTCCAATAGGAATTTAAAATAGGGAAAAAAAGCAATAATCAAAAATATTTCAGGGGCTTTCTTGTCGTTCTGTCACATCTACTTTAAATGTTTTTTCAAAGCGTGAAACTGACGATAATGATTTCAAATTTTAAAAATTAGCATCATTTCAAATTTCTGTTTAGAACTTTTTGAATGAACAGTAGTTATTGAATGTAGAACAAAATGTGAGCAATAGAAATGAAATATCTCTATTGTTACCTTCAACTATTTTATTATTAAAGGTCAAGGTCCAGGTCACCACCAACACGAGGTCGCAGCAGGAGTCGGGAGAGGAAGAGGTCACGTAGTAGGGAAAGGAGATCTTCATCTCGTGGACGAGATCGCCGTGGTAGAAAAGAGCGGGATGGTCGTCAGGGACGATACTAAACATAACACAACCAAGGACAAAATTTCATATAGACTTAATCATATACCAACGTTTTTAACTTTTGTCCACTTAATGTGAATGGATTTGGTGAAATCGCATACAGCGTTTTCAATACATCTGACTGCAGACAAATCTGCAGCCGACAATATTGAACATATACCCTAGTTCCTCTTGATTGATGATGGGACTTGTGTGAGGACTATGCTACATTGTCCGATTCAAGAATGAGGCACCGATTTTAATTTTTACGACCATTCAGGACACTGATATTAAGTCCTACAGTTTCATATTAATAATTTGCTGTTGCGGTAGTATCCCTGACATGACAATGGAGTAATGTGTTTATAAATGACATATTTGACATGTTGGATGTTTCACATTGACGAAGAAAGGTGTTCGCAGATCATTTTATTTTTATTTTCAAACTTCACTTTTCTACATCATTGTCATCTTTTTCAATGTTTTATTGAATTCCGTCATGAAGTGAAATAAAATTTATTCAGGTACAAGTCCTTTTTTCTAATTTATCACAATTTCAAATTTTTCTGTTTGTCCATATGTGTTTGAATGGTTTTGTCTGATGGTCATGTGACATTGGGTGAAAATAACGTTACTATCCTTTATCTGCAAAAGCAGGGATTTACAACTACAGTAACTGATGAAAGATGAAATGTTTGTTGGCCAAGTTTATCATCCCATGGGCAGTAAGGATCATTTTGACGAGTGTGTCACTTTGTTTTCCTGTTTTGAAGGGTATGTCATTTTATTTTCCTGTTTTGAAGGGTGTGTCACTTAATTTTCCTGTTAACAGTCGGGGTTTAAGGCAGAGAGTCTCCTTGTAGCTGGTGGCTGCCTAATTGAACAATGGAAGTTGATGTGGAGATGGCAAATATTGAACGAACCAGAGTATGCTAGCTCTCTTTTCGTCAATTAAAAACAAAAGCATTTGACTCGATGCTAATCTAATTAAAGAAGGATATACATATATATGTATTAACAAAAGAGTGTCTTATATATCAAATTTCTATTTATTTCAATATATAACATTTCTTGAGAGAATGGACCCATTTACTTGACGGCTGGTAGTTTCAGGGTTTGACATATCAGTGACATGGATTTCATCCTTTTTCGTGTTGGCCATTGGAATGCATGCATGGCTTCTGTCAACAATGTCGACTCCTTGTACGCCCTAAAAACAAGGATAAGATCTGGTCGTTAGTAACAAATAGTTACCACAGAGTAAAAGTCAATAAGACGAGATGTTCCGGATGAGTAACTTCAGAGTCTCTTGCTTCATCAACATGTCATGTAAATCTTGTTCAAACCAAGATAATAATTCCTTTAATTCCTTAATGGGAATAGTATATCTCGTCGAATTATGAAAATCCGATCATACGGGCATCACGTAGTGTCATGCATGACCCGGATGTTGAATTGGCGGGTGTTTATGATAGCGAGTAAAAGTTGACATTATTACAACAACAAACTACGAAGAAAATTGGTATTCAAGTCAAAGTTATACTAATGTTACCAGTGATCCTGAATATTTTAAAGTTATTTTTGAAATTGTAAGATACTAGAATGGCGCCATCTTTCATCAGGGTGGTACCAATTTCGATAACATAATGCGATCGGTTTTAAGGTTGCGTCATCTACTCACCTGTTCCGTCTATTTTTGCTTTTGATTTTTGCCAAAAGTTCTGGTGTTGAGCTAGGGCTGCCAGTGGCGACACTCGGTGGCCGGTAATCCAAGGTCGATCGACTCAGGGGAGGTAATTTCTCATTGGCATTCCAGACGCTAGGTCTGCATATTGTGTTGAACGTTTTGACCTCGTTGAACTCCTTCGAAACAAAAAAAAAAATGAACATCACAAGATGTTTAAGTTCAGCCGGATGTGTCCTTTTGGTGTTTTATTATATACCAGTCAACGCCGTGGAACAATCAAAATATGAATTAAAATATTAGGACTCCAAGAATGTCTTTTCCTCCAGATAAGTTTGAGGAAAAAAATCTTCCAATGAATATGCCACAGCTTTCGTATGTTAAACTTTACATGTCACGACAATGTCAACCAGGAGCGTTTAATCCCAGTAAACTCGATAAGTCCCTTACCCTCTATCCCCACCCCTCCTCAGCATCTATCTATATGCATGTACGGAAGATATATTGAGATATCGGCGTTTAATTCAGTACAGGATGTCATTTGTCTATTCTATGGCAGTTCATACCTGCTGAGATCCGAAGTAGGTCTCGCGGTTGACGTCGCCGATATAACTGAGGAAATCTCTCCTGTTTGAAGACAACCATTTTGCCTTTTCGTCACTTCGGTTCGGGGTTGGAAGCACCTATAGAGAAAAGAACCACAAAACTGCATAGTATTCATGTTCTAAAATATCTCTCCTTTGTTAGTGAATGTTCCACGCAAAGCACCGAAACGCAAAACAGTAACGGTCCATCTAGATGTATGAAGATGTAGCTCTACTTCAAACAGGATGACAATGGATATCAACAGTTTTCAATCAAAGTAAATTATGGTTATTACAGAACGTGACCAGATAACTAAAATTATGGCAAAATAAAATATATATACAAATCCGAATGACAGCTATAAGACCACCGTCTAAGGAGATTGCTGGAAAGGCACACAATGGAAAATTATCTTCAGTACAAATTTAAAGATTCGATTCAGCAATTGAATTCTGCTTTATTGTACAGCTGTTTCGTCCTTCAAGGATGACAAGTTATACAGTAGTTAAAATCATAGAGAAGACCAGACAGTATTAAATGAACGAATCTGAAAAGACTCGATAATTAAAATGAACGGGGGTTTTCGAGTAACATGGTCGTTTATCACAACAACGATAAGTTCCGTTAAACAAGACCACTTTACCGAAAACATGTACATTTATATGTGCTAGAAAAACGGATAGCTCACAGAATTAATTACTACTTATACGCTCTCATTTTATAACATATAGAGTTTACTTTCTGAAATATTTATTATAAACCCGGTCTTACCCAGATAGATAAGGGGGTGGGTTGGGATGTGGGTTGGGGGAACTACAACAAGAGAGGAATTCAAACGCAGAAAAATCGTGTTGAATTAAATCTACCATTCTAATAGTCACATAATTTTGCAATAATAATTAGTAAGTCGATTCACAAAAGAAAAATATGTAACAGACGTACAGATAATGTGAGCTGATTAGACTCAGAAAACTTTTCTAAAAACAACTCTTTCAGTAAGTGTTTGTTTGTAAAGTTAGAATTACACGTATCACCGGTTTTCGTAGCATTAACATTATGATCGGGATCAAATTTGGAATCAATTTAGTACTGGTGACCGAGCTATATAGCCAATGCTGAAGACCAGGCAGACGGATAGACAGATTGGACACATAAATACACAAACGGACGCACATAGTCAAACAGGCACATAGACAGTTGTTTCATACCTGGGCTGGAGACGGAGGCCTAAGTGGTTTGGGTCTGTAAAAAGACAATCCGGAAGGTCCGAAGTCCTTCCAATATGTGGATAAAACTCGCCAATCATCAGTTCCAAAGGAATAGTGTGTCTTGTGGATATCAGCCATGTTCTTTTTTGCGGATATCGCTCATGTAAATAGAAGTAGGCTTTCCATTTGCTTAGTCCACATATTACTAGTCGTAGGCAAGAGAGGTTATTATGACGTCATAGTTATTATTACGTCATAATGCATGTTACAGTGTTGAGGGCGAGAGTAGATATCGAATATAGTCCGCCGTCAAATATTAGGTGCCAGGAGCAAATCTGGATTTCGACCAATTAAAACTAGAAACAACATATCAATTTTCATGATATTTTAATATTTGACCAAAATACGTTACAGTTTTCGTGATTTCTCAAATAATAAACGTTTACAAGTTTGCATAATTCGGTTTCGTTTCCGACATTGTGAAAACTCCTTAACTTCCACGAATCTGTTGGTTCTATCAGATAACGTCGTGCTAACTTACTTATTGGGATAGTCGATACTGATTAAACTATCATTCTTTCTGATTACAACTGTACAACGTACACGTGCGAACTTATCTTCACATTTACAGCTTCAGAGGAAATCTTTGCGGGACCTAACAGGACTGGCGGTCCGCGGATTATTTAGAAGTATTCCGACTTACCGTACTTATGGTGTATCGAATCGTCCTCCTTGAATTTGTCACTGTTTTCTCCAGTATTGAAGTGTTGGGAGACTGAAGGCTTTCAGCCATTCATCAGTACCACATATTAGTACTCCTTTAAAAATTCATGCATCTTCTATAACTGACAATCTATACCTTTTTCATATATACGTTGAAACTTTTGTTTGGTTAGTCAATATATTAGTGTATACAGGGTGGGCGGGTGACACAGTGGTAAATTTCGTGTTATTTTAACACAAGACGTCAAAATATATTTGAAAAAGAAACCGAAGGACTTCGCTATGTCTTTGAGACCTGTTTTGATAAGTTCTTCGATAATTTCAGCCTCTTACGAAAACAAGTCAGCTATGAGAGAGGTCCGGTTAAACCCAAAGGAATGACAACAGTCTGTAGGAAGATCTTTTCACCAAACGAAGTAACTGTCATTCAGGATTACGGCCGTCGTACATTACTGGTGAATAATGCACGTGTTAAAATTCTATTTAAAAATGGCACGTCGAAAATTGATATATACTGAAAATGGCGTCTGGAATAATTCAAGATGGTATGACATACATGAAAATAGATGTACGTTTTAATGTTAGACATTCTGTAATGTCTCAGCCAAAGCAGCGTCTGAACCAAACCGGGCATATTAAAGACGCATAATAGAAAGTGTCCAGGTCTGGTAGACATAGAAAACTTCAGATAGAGAAGATCGACTTATGTTTAATCAGAAAGGGTGACACCCCTTCACCACTTCCATCAGGTTCAGTGGAATGTCAATGAAGTATAAGTGACTTTGCTCTCGCTGACCACTCTTCTGTTGACATGTAATATAAACTTGATTATTCATTTACATGTCCTGGACGGAACTTTAAAGGACAGAGCTTCAAACTCTGGCTGTTCCGTATTTCAAAGTCCATCCATTGGCCAATCGGCCTATCCTAATGAATGAGAACACCAAAACACATATAACCAGCCTAGTACAAACATTAACCTTATGCACCGGATCTAAAATGCCGAACAACTGAAGAAATGGGCTGCCTTGATTTAACAATGGGGTTTGGTCAGTGGGATGAGACGACGGGCACCAGACTTGTACCAGAAGCATGGTGGCTATACCTGATATTGACATTTTCATACCCAATAGAACACCTTGATTAGTTCATCTTCTTGATAAAGTAACATATTTGGTTATTTGATGACGTGTCTGTTTTTTCAAGACTTTGGGAATGTCTTTTGGAACATGCATTTTAAACATGATACAGCACTTCCGGTTCCGGAAAGGTCTTATTACAAGAGAATTACTAGCAACAAGGATATATCGACTGGGCTATTTATTTGTGACTTCCCCTAAGGTGTTGTTAAAGACATTACAACAAAATTATGTTTCAGCTATAAAAGAGCTTACTTATAAAATCATTTAAATTTGCTGTAACCGTGGCTTGTCAGAGACCTATATTGAGGTTACTATAGAACTGTAGATCCTCCTGTTGATACAGGCCTATTGTATATAATAAATACCTATCTATACAGGCCAACTGTATATAACACATACCTGTCTATACTGGCCTACTGTATATAACAAATACCTGTCTATACAGGCCAACTACATATAACAAATACCTGTGTATACAGGCCTACTGTATATAATAGATACCTGTGTATACAGGCCTACTGTATATAACAAATACCTATCTATACAGGCCTACTGTATATAACACATACCTGTCTATACAGGTCAACTGTATATAACACATACCTGTCTATACAGGCCAACTGTTTATAATAAATACCTGACTATAAAGGTCAACTGTATATAACAAATACCTGTCTATACAGGACAACTGTATATAACAAATACCTGTCTATACAGGACCACTGTATATAATAAATACCTGTCTATACAGGCCTACTGTATATAACAAATACCTGTCTATACAGGCCAACTGTATATAACAAATACCTGTGTATACAGGTCAACTGTATATAATAAATACCTGTCTATACAGGCCAACTGTATATAACAAATACCTGACTATAAAGGTCAACTGTATATAATAACTATATAACACATACCTGTATATAATATAATACCTGTCTATATAATAAATACCTGTCTATACAGGCCTACTGTATATAACAACTGTATATAACAAATACCTGTATATAACACATACCTGGGTCAACTGTATATAACACATACCTGTCTATACAGGCCAACTGTTTATAATAAATACCTGACTATAAAGGTCAACTGTATATAACAAATACCTGTCTATACAGGACAACTGTATATAACACATACCTGTCTATACAGGACTACTGTATATAATAAATACCTGTCTATACAGGCCCACTGTATATAATAAATACCTGTCTATACAGGCCTACTGTATATAACAAATACCTGTCTATACAGGCCAACTGTATATAATAAATACCTGTCTATACAGGCCAACTGTATATAACAAATACCTGTCTATACAGGCCAACTGTATATAACAAATACCTGTCTATACAGGCCTACTGTATGTAACAAATACCTGTCTATACAGGCCATTTGTGTACAACAAATACCTGTCTATACAGGACAACTGTATATAATAAATAGCTGTCTATACAGGCCAACTGTATATAACAAATACCTGTCTATACAGGACAGCTGTATATAATAAATACCTGTCTATACAGGCCATTCGTGTACAACAAATACCTATCTTTCTATAACAAACATTTTCTATATAACATTTTACAATGAACCAGTCATACTCCTAATGGATTGTTGATTAAACCACTTCATAATGAAATCCTATTTGCATTCCAGTGACTGAAATATTGTCTTCCTACTCTTTGTGAGAATATCAAAGTATACACTTTCCTCATGTGAAGTAATGATTGTCCTCTACTTGACAAAACATAAGTATCAAGTATATAAAAGACATGGGTGATTTGGCAGTGCCATGATTTCTTAGTCGCCTTTCACTTCAGCAGTCTGTTGGATTCACCAATCAGAAGTGAAAAGGTATTATTTTTCTGGGTTCTTGGTAACACTTCTCAAGTGCTTCCATCCAGGCTCTCGTTGTTCAAACGTTGGTAAGAAATAACCAGTGGTTAGTGAAAATTTTCAAATGTGAATTAAACAAAATGGGAATCATTCTTTATCATTTCACAGCTGTAGGTTTATTGAGTCAGATTGATGTATTTGTGATGTCTATAATGTTTCATTTTAATAATTGAATAATAATTTGAATTTTTCACTTTCCATTAGTGAACTTTAACCTTTTAGCAATTGGGGCCAGAATGACAAGATTGACTCACATAAGATTTAGAAATTCACTTTAGAGAGTGATTCCATCATCGACATGGCTCCATCTTCATAATTTATAATATTATGACCTTCACTGTTACAAGGATGTAAAACTCCAACAAACAATCCAACAAACAAACTTTTGATGTTACACATAATTTATTGAAGATTTGAAGGCTAGTACATCACCCAACTCTACAGACAAAAACCCACTATGTTCCATGTCACACTTCAGTGTGTATGATATCTTAGATTCGTGGGTGGATCTGTACAGGAATGTATGAAGTTCTTCACAAATACTGATATCACAGATAGAGTTGTCATCATATTTACATATGTACACACAATTTAAATAAAATATACAAAAATAGTATTTCTTAGCGCAAGTATATAAATCATCTTGTCACATCATATAGGGCTTGTGAAATACCGCAACATTATTGAACTTCATTCAAACTGTAGCGGAGAGGTCTGAACATAGCAAATTAAGAATACAATATAAGTGGAAGGGATGGACGTCCTATAAAGAAATTCCTACACAAGTTCAAGTTATCAAAAAAAGGGTAAACTTTTGTATCTCTATCACTAAGGCAGAAGTAGTTTCATCAATGTTCAATGTCATCAGTGAAAATATGGACGGAATCTAGGCCCAGGCAATCAATAAAGAGTCCTAGGACAGATAGACAAATGAACACTCAATATAACAAATGGAAAATGATATCAGCATCATTTAATTTTTTCCCCATAAAAAACTTCTCCTCCAGAAGCATTGTACAAATCTTAAAGCCATTTAACAACAACTAACAATATTTTATTTTAATTACTTCCACACGGGCATATTTTCATGAATGGGAATTTGAGATATTCAACTGAAATCCAATTGCATCAAAAATTATAAATAAAAAAATGCTTACTGTTACATAAACCAATGTTCCACTTCTTTCTGTTGTTTCACTTTATTATTTTTCATTTTTTTACCAGAATTTTTTTTTTGACTGCAACTGGGCTTAAGTTTACTGTAGAGGATCTACCTGTCAGATACAGACACACGTAAACCATGAGAAACATTATGAAGAAACTTGATGACTACTTCAAGAGTACATGGTATTACATAAACACCCATAAACTTCAGTTATCCCAAACAGAATGCATCAATTAATAACAAGGTTCTTCTAGTTACCTCCCTTGTACTTTAAGGTGTAAAACACTAATTTTTTGACAAATTTTATTCCATAAATAGTTCTTCTCAAATTTATACAGAAAATATTCCGACACATTTTATAAGAAATCCTGAAAATAAATAAATAAAATAATCCTGGGGTGCTGCTACATCAACTTTTATCAAAACAATGTCTTGTATTATGTGACACTGACAGTAATGACAAAACCTATTGTCATTTATATATGCAACATACATTGTGATATTTTACGAAAATCATACACCTATCATATTGTATCGATGAACAGGACCTAAAGGGGGATAATCCAGTTGTCTCCCTTCTTTCTCGACACAATCACTGCTATCACAGAATGAAATTCCTTTTATAGTTTATCATTTCAATTTGAATCAAGTGACATGATGACATGAGTTCCAGATGGTCTCCGTTGTGTTTTCTACTGCTGTTCCTCCTGTGTCTGGGTTTCAGTTACACCTGCGGTACTTGGGGCAGTTTTTGGTGGTTTGGCATTCATGCTAATGATTTCCTCTCCGTCCTTCACAATTTCTTTGTGAGCTGCTAACAAGTATTTCCTCTGATCTCTCCTCACTGTTGAGAACAAGAAACAAACATTTTACTACAAGGTCCCTTTCAACTGTTTTATAAACAAATCTACAGTTGATAGTGATGGCAGAACATTGGTTATCCCCAAGTCACATTTTCATCTCTAACATTTTTATATCTAATGCTTTTTTAATACTTTATTATTCTGTAAACTTTTGACTTGAGAAAAAGACATCTATAAATAGATATCATACATATTCAATGATAAGCCCAGGGGGCCAATATATTAATTCTGAAGTCAGAGGTGGGAATATCAAAGTACAATGAAATAACATTAGATGGTATTTCTACAAAACAGCTATCAACATGAATCGACCAGATGCCAGTTATTGGCTCAATCCCAGAAATTTACAATAATGTATGTATTATATATACGAACACTACAATATTTTACAATACATTATGTTACCCTCACAGAACAATGACAATAAGAATTAGTAAGAAAAGAAACAACTTTCCTACCTTTATCTCTCATGTCCTGTTTCTGGACTTCTGGGATGAGGAAGCAATGAACCAAATCTGCCACAATCTCCTCCGACTGGAGCTGTGTCCGCCTGTACAGATAAAGTCACAAAAAACATTATTTAAGTTTATACTGGAAAGTCATTCCTGATACAGCTGCTGGGATATTTAGCAAGTAACAGATATTATTGATTGTCTGTATTTCATCCCAAAAACACGTAGGAAGTCTTTTTATTATTGTAAAAAAAGTTATAATATTTTTTTGCAGATATTGGTTTTTTACCAGTTTTTTATTTTGTTTTTTCCCCTTAACTTTGATTTTAGAATTTATTGAAAATAAATATTTTTTTTTCTTTAATTCATTTTATAAACAATTATACTTGACATGTTTGTAAGTAAAGTGACAGTGTAATAGAAATAGTTATTTGTCAGAAACTCTCTTTTATCACTAGTCTACTGATCAACAACAGGTGTATATAACTTACTTATCCTCCATCTCGTAAGCAATGTCGTTTATTATCGTGGCTGTCTCAGAGATCTCGCTGCGAGCCTGAAGATCAGCAGTTTTGTCGATGGAGCCAAGAATAATATCTTCAAGATATGTATCCACACTATTCTGGTGAACTTTGACAGCCTGGTAACGAATCATGACGTAGAATTGGATTTAAATTCATGCTATTTTTTTTTTTCATTTTAAAAGAAACATGAAACTAATATATCATGTTTTCCTACCTAAATATTTCTATTTCTAAAATAATAAATAAAAAAACAAAACCAACGAAACAAAAAATATGGACATCTTCCACATTAGTACTAAAGAGTTCAAATTAAGAATTTAAAACAACACCATCAAGGACTTCCATTGTGACTGGAGTTTTAAATTTACATGCACATTTATATAAATATGATTTGCTTTCGAAATTATTAATAATGCCAAAATTTATTAAAAGTGAAGTTTCTTCTATTCTTTGGTACTAAGATTTTCTGATTGATTGAAAATACATTCTGACTTTTGTATCAAAACATTCACCTAGATGATTTAAATATCATTAATATCATTGGAGACACCTTTCCTACTATAATCTTATTTAATTACTGTGATAAATCTCAAAATCAACAATAGAAGCTAAAGTTCAACAAGTCTTTATCTGGGGTAAAACAAGGAATTATAATTAAACTGGATTAATTAGAACAGAATCTATTCATACTTTCAATAATCTACCAACCTGTTTGAAGATTTCATCTTCCTCTCTCCTTCGTCTCTCTTCCACTTGACGACGCCCACTTTCCTCAGCCTCTCTGATCCTCCGCTGACGCTCTGCAAGCATGGAGAAGGCATGAATCCTGCGTTCCTCCTGTAGGCGGATCAACTCCTTGCTGAGGAAGTCATAAGTGTCTCCCATACTGGAGCCCTCAAGCTGGCTCATAGCCTCATCCACTAAGAACTCCTGTGAAACATTTAAATCCATGTCATCAATGAGTCTCCATCACAAACTCAAACATACTGTAAAACCATTCATTTTGTGGGGGATTTATTTTCTTGATTTTGTGATCTGTCACAATTAATATTATTATATTTATAGAGCTATATTTATCAATAAAATCAAATGTTCATGAAATCATGATTTATTGAAAAACCACGAAAATAGAGCCCCATGAAAAAATATGATTTTCAAGTATCAGTTAAGAATTTCAATCGTCTCCATCACAAAATAAAAGATAACAGATAAAATTTCAATCAATTTCCCTCATAATTACATTTCTTCTCATCTTGAAAATAAAATTCTCTTTAAAAATCAAGTTTTTGGCCCATTATATCCAAATAGGAAGACAAATGAAATCAAAAACCTGAAAACTGATAGGTCTGTCGAAAGTTCAGCGTGGTAGACGATATGTTCTTCAGTAACCAAATATCTGTTAATATCAAAACTCTATCGTTTTTGTGGAGAGTTATCCTGATTAAATTCCCTCTTTAGGAGATACATCCACATCAAATTTGAAACCTAAGGTACAATGACTCCAAACAAATCCAGCATTACATAAAACCAGGTACATCCAACAGTGTAAACTGGGGTTTGTATCTCTCCCATCTATATTATAATCATACAAGTCCAATCGAATGGAAAGATTTGTTGACTTAACAAAACATTACATAACAACAAAAACATTGTTAAAAGCATTTTTTTTTTTGGAAACAAAAGGAAAAGAAGGAATATATTCATATATGTAAAAAAAAAGAAAATGGATTTTGATACAGTCATGTTTGAAGATTTCGAACATACTCATGTAAATTTTGTGAAGTGGGCTAACAAAGCTTTCTACACTAGAAGGCTGTAGCAGATCAATGCTGGTAGTAATGTTACAGCATTGTCATCAATTATGTACAGGTAACATCGATCTGGCCAAGAAACAGTCTTTAATTGTGTGATTAAAAACATAAAAGGAGAGAGCACAGAACAGGTGTTGTTTATCAAGTTACAGATAGACAATTGTATATCAGGTAATGTCTGTCAATTTATAGACAAATAAATGACAGATCAGGAGTTGTTAATCAATTTACAGATAAATAAATGACAGATCAGGAGTTGTGTATCATCAGTTGTTTATCAGTTTATAGATAAATAAATGACAGATCAGGAGTTGTGTATCATCAGTTGTTTATCAGTTTATAGATAAATAAATGACAGATCAGGAGTTGTGTATCATCAGTTGTTTATCAGTTTATAGATAAATAAATGACAGATCAGGAGTTGTGTATCATCAGTTGTTTATCAGTTTATAGATAAATAAATGATAGATCAGGAGTTGTTTATCATCAGGAGTTGTTTATCATCATCAGGAGTTGTTTATCAATTTACAGATAAATTGATGTACATATCAGAAACAGTTTATCTAGTTTTTGATTAAATGTAAATTACTCTACTGCAATGAAAGCTTCATTGTCTTAATTTCCAATTAAATTAAATTATGTTAATGACTGTAATTAAGCATGAGAAGAATTCTGAAGGTTTCCTTTTTCTTTTCCTGTATTCTCTATGCAAATCTTTCTTGTGTCCATATTCTGGTTTTATTTCATCAAAACTGAGTTTCAATTGAAACTCAATTGAAATTCAAACTATAAATAAATTTTCTGTTAACAAGTAGGTATTATTTAATTCAATTTTAAAATATCAAATCAGAAAATAATTTTAATTTCAAAACTTCTCATCAATCACATCACTGGACAAAATCAGGTTTTGAGCTCTGCACAATACTGTGATTTTTTTTCTATTTCATTAACCACAATGAGTGTGGAGTATTCAGTGTACTGCCCACCCCATGGTTTTTGTTTCTCTCTAATGAAACTGTATGTTGAGATCTATCTATCTCCTTATATCTTGACCTTTGGGCATGAAATACACTGTATTACACTTTGCCCTCCTGATATCCAGGTTAATGCATTAACTCCATTGACATGTATGTTTACAATTTGACCTCTTGATATGAACTTTGACCCCCTCCCCTCCAAAACATTAATTATTTCACTTTGACCAATGAACATGAATGTTACACTGTAACCTCTTGACATCCAGGTCAACACCTAGACATTATGGTTAATGAAGGTTTACACTTTGACCCCTTGATATGAACTTTGATGCCACCTTTACAAAAGTTCTTATCCCTTTCCTAAACACATGACCCCTATATTGCTACACATGTACACAAACCCCTAACTCACCTTGTGTTCGTGGAGCCTCCTCTGTCGCTGTAGTGCCAAGGTAGCTTGTTTTTCCTGGTGTTTGATGTTCTGTTCAGCCTCCTGTAGTGCATGTGTACTTCTCAGCTCCTTTATTAGTTCTGTCCTCTTTTCCTTTCCCTCAAAAATCTGGTAAACAAAAACAGTTTGGTGTACTACAACTTACATATATATATCTAAAATCTAATAGTATTTTGATGTTAAGGACTTCTGTTATGTCTAAATGATGAAATATATGACATCAAATGATTGATGTTAAAGGTATAACTTACCATGTTCTGAATAGCACGACCCCGAATGACCTTCTGTAGGTAGATGATGGCGAGCTCTTTCTCCTCCTCTTCCTAAACACAAAACATTTCAGACATGTCAGCCTGTGTCAAATATAACTCTATAACAGCTACAATACATCTGTCAATGGTATTTCCCCCAATACTGTCACCCTTATCCTCACACCATCTTTGTTTTCAGCCTTACACAAAAATCAAAAACAGTCTGGCTGACCTATACATTGTGCCAGTACTAACCCGATGGATTATCTCCCCTCATCATGATTTGCTTAATTTCCCTCTCTAGCCATTTCTTTACAACTTTGATTTTACAACATTTCACAATTCCATACAATTTGACCTCTTTTGAGGTCAATAATCAGGTTTGAGGTTAATTTTTATAAAACAACAGTAAAATAAAATTTTTAAAAATTGTAAATCATAGATCCAAAATCAGGAATTGCAGCCATTTTGTTTTCTTTAAGAGCAAAGGAAGGTAAGTCTAGTAGGGTATATTGATTGTTGGTCAACCATACCGATATACACTTGCCTTTAAAAGGGTTGTCCAAGGTATCTTATTTCAGATAAATTTTAAATTTATGGATCAAAACATTCATTTGTCTTTTATTTCTATTCTGTGTTCCAATATTCTTTCTTCACAAATATTTTGGTAAGAGTAATGACCATATTTACATAAACATAAAAACACAAAGTTATAACACACACAGTACACATATAAAGTTTAAATATATGGGGCATGGTTGATATTTCATACAATAAAGGGGTTAAAATGAAATATCAAAACAAAATCATATATTGGAATTGTCAATCATCGTGTAAACTAGAATCCTGAGCATGCAACCTAGTAACGATATATTTATAAAAAACTGTTAGGATGATTTGTATAGGTATTCCATGCACTTAGTACATAGAAAACATTCCAAACAAAACAAAATCAATGTATTTTCATGACTATGGATGTTTGTATGAACGTATGAAGAAGTTTAAATATGACATAGCATATAAATGAAAAATTAAAAAAAAAAATTTTTTCCTGTTAAAAAACATCACAGTGTTTGATGATACCAATGAAAGATTTAATAAAAACTTTCAATTTCTTTTCCTGATAAATGATCTTCGATTAAAAAATGATTTATGTGTGATGTTGACGGTAAAATGATTTTAATATCGGGATGGGTTACTGATGAACACCACAAAGCTGTTTAGTATATACCTCCACCATCTTTTGTTGCTGAGAACAAAATCGATGTTAACATTTAGAAACGATTTGCAACAAATAATGCTTGAAAAAAAAAATTTGAAAAAACTTGAGACCTAAATTTTACTAAATGTTATCAAGGCGACAAAATCACAAGATTTAATTTTTTACATCTGTAATTCTTTCATATTTAGTATCATCTTGGATTTTCCAGCCCTCCTTCTCTTTTTTTTTCTGACACAAATATAAAAAACACAATTAAGGATGCCTCTAAAATCAGAATAAATTTCTGCAAGTTAGGATTATTTCCCCAATTTTTCCATTTTGCATTATAGCAACATCAGGCCCCATGGGGGTCGTCACTTACTTCTGGTGGGACCTCCACTGCTGGTGTTGGAGGACGGGGAACAGGTTTTTCTATTTTCTGGAGGAAGCGTAGTGGTTTAGGCTCTTCCTCTCCCTTAGCCTTTTCAGCTTTAAGGGACTGTAAAAATAAATGAATAAATTGAAAACTTTATCTGAGGAAACGGATACCAATGCTGTAGTGCTGTAAGAAATTCTAAGATTGAAATCATGGATTTAAATTGGGAATATGAAAGTTTAACAATTTTCTTGACAGTCCAAGGATTAAGCAAGAAATGCCAAAATTTTCCTTGTTTCACAGCATACTGTTGGAGTGTTTTAATTCTTACACAATGAAAAGTAATTAATTGTATATTCCTTGGTCACTCATGCTCACTAGGTCATTAAAACTCAATGCTCACTGGGCAATATAAAAATGTAACTCATTGCTCAATGGCCCATGTAACTCATGCTCACTTGCCTATTCTAAATGTAACTCAATGCCCAATAGGTCATTAAAACTGTAACGCAATGAGTACTGGGTTGTTAGAAATGTAACTCACTGTCACTAAGCAATTAATATGTAACTTAGTGCTCAATGGGCCAGTATTGAATAAATTGGAATTTTTACTGCATCTTGTGCTACAATTTAATATCATGCATGACCAATACAAGAAAAGAGGAACCTACCTCATGCATGTCCATCAGTTCTCGTTGCTTTCTGTATTTGCGTTTGATGAATCCGGCCTTGGTGACAGTTTTAGGTTTCGGAGCTTTGATCCTGGGATTGAGAACAAAGTCAGGCAGGGACTGTTCTAGTTCCATCAGGCCTACAACATCAGATATAAAACAGTCATAACACAAATAGAAACACAGCAATCCTCAAATTGTTATCTATGTATAAAGTAATGCACTGTAGTCCAGCCTGTATTAGAGGCCAAGTGTGTATATATATATAGAGAAAATTAATCACAACATGACAAACAAATATATCACTAACGTTTAATTTTCTCTTTACGATACACAAAGTTTTTATCTTTTTAAATTATATATATATATATATATTACATATATAACAAATACCTGTCTATAAAGACCTGTCCATAAAAGGTAACCTGTATGTAACAAATACCTGTCTATAAAAATCCTGATTCCTTGAGGTAAATACTGTACTGTCATAGAATCTTGGGAAATGTGTAATATCATCATAAGGCCATATGGCTACTCACTGTATGACATTATAATGTAGCTGAAAATTTACAATTAGGTTTCGATTTTTTTCAGAAATGTGTCAATAACTTTTTTAACACAAACCTTGATAAGTGTTGATGTGACGACTACGGACAACGTACTGCTCTGAGCCTCGGTCCAGGAACATTCCAATCCGTGTCAGAGGGGCGTATGTTTGAGATCCATAGTTGGAGAAGTCCTGGATAACATCACGACGCTCCAGTTTACCCTCTACCTTCTTTCTCTTACCTGTTAATTTTCTTATCGCTGAAAATATAAAAAATCATATATTCCAAGTAAGCGAGTATTCAATAAATTTATTGACTAAAATACTTTTTTCTAAAGTTTTGTATCTTTATGATTCAATATTGTTTTGATTAAATAAAGATATAAAAATATATATAACACATGTTGAGCAAAACTACCAGAGTAAGTAACTTTTGTCTTAATTCAGCAAGATTTAATATTTTTGTAAAAATTCACACCAAACATACTGTTAAATCAAATACTTTGGTGGGGCTTGAATTTCGTGGTGTTCCAAATACATCCATTTATGTTAGCACTTGCTTTTGCAGTTAAATCTTGCTCACCAAATCCACTAGTGCTATAATCCATGTGAACTTTTATTTATCATTTCATGAAAAGGTAAATTTGTCGACTTGAAGTACACAATAATTAAACAAAAATTAATCCTCTACCAAAATTATTTTACCTAAAATTTTAATAAAAGTTCATCAATTTGTTTTCCACTTCACTGACATATTTAAACTGACAATGACAGATTTACACACGTTTGACAGATCTGGATACCATCACTTTCTCTGATCTTTAGTAATTAAAGACCACTTACTTTTTATATGTTCATTTCGGATTTTTTTAATCTTTGATTCTTTTTCTTTCTGTTTCTTTGACCTGAAATTTAAGAAAAAGGATAAAATATCAATGACTGATCTGTGTACATATTTCCACTCTCTGAGAATGTTACCAGTAGGTTTAAATATTTATAATATACAAAAACACTTACAACAAATGTAACTGCTTCAATTTGGCTTAACACAGAAAATAAAACTACTGAGCATTTTTCGAAGGAAATATAAAAATATGCTTACGTTTCACTTATTTGTAATCATATCTCAGCCTTGTTTTACAGTACATGCTCTGTATTCCAACATTTATTTCTTTTTTCATTTACAAATTTGTCAGCTTTGTCAATTACTTATATCAAGTAAACTGACCAGAAAGAAAAGATCTGTTACAATGTTGGCAAAATGAAACATTTACCATTTCATTACTAAACCACTTTAATTGGTAAATAGTCTTATTAATAAAAGCTACCTGTCTGTAAAGGTTAAGTTTCTAGTCACCTCTGAATGGTCTTTTTAAACAAGTTGAAATCTATATATGAAACCTAGGATATGAATCTACAACACATGAACTTGTTGTTTCTTGGGAGAGTTTTCCCCAATTTTGTTCTGTGTATTTTATAAATGTTTCTAGCAGAACAACTTAACATAACCAGGAATAGTTATCTATAAATGGGAGACGAACCAGATTTTGTCGAGACGTTTAATGTTAAGTTCTTGATGGTTCTCCTCTCTCTTCTTTAAAAGTTCCTTCAAAACTTCCAGTCTAGCTTCTTGTAATCTGAAAATGGGATTCCTTTGTATAATTTCTAATTCAGATAACCAGCACATCATTAAAAGTTTCAAACATAAAATAAAAAACATACATGTACACCCCCTCTATATGTTTCTACAAGTATCTTTCAATCTGCCATTTCACTCCAAATTGTTATACAATAACATATTTTTTAATATCTTAATATGTTTATGCAGGATAAAATTTTTTGGTCAGTAGTCAAAGTAAAATCGGGAACATACAAATCTAATTATGATTAATCTCAAAAACAAAATAAAAATAATAGTAATATTTTTAGTAACAAGACTAAATGACCTACTTTTCGATTTCTTGTTCCCTCAATGCCCATTCTTTCCTCTCCATCTCGTCCATCATACGACGACGCTTGTCAAGTTGTGATACGTCATTCAGAGGAGGAAGAGTTGCTTCCCATGCTCGTTTAGCTCGGGCACGCTCAATCATCTCTACCTCAGCTAAACCAGCTGGCAATCCTCGCCCTGAGGCATGGACAAAAAAACAGTCTTAGTTTCACATACAACAAAACACATTTTCTATAAGCACACTGGGGTATTTATGACTTCAAAAAACTTTTGTCATGTTAAACATTTTCATTCATGTATTAAAATCGATATTCACAATATTTTCACCTTTAGAATAAAAAATGTGTACCTGTAAACACACAGTATTTTTTTATCATAATAGGCCAGATTGCAAAATATTTCCCTTCATACAGTACAGTTACCCATGTAGTATTTGTTTGTGTAAAATGAAAACAAACATCTTGATGCAAATTAATATGTAATGGTGACAAAATTATAAAAACTTTCCTATTTTCCAGAAAAATACAAGGATTTGACAAATCTTACCAAAGGAGAGAGTCGCCAGAGTAAGAAGCTCGGGAGCTGATCCTGGTCTGACAACATACTCAGGTGTGTAAGGGTCAGTCTGGGCCTCCGAGTCTCGGTAGTCTGTCTGGACCTCCACAGTCTTAGTGAGAGGTGTTGGTGGTCTCTCTACCTGTAGCTGGTCTGGACCAGCCAGGGGGTCTTGTCTGTCGAATCAACATCAGAATTTTGTTTATAATATCTTAAATTCATTATGCAACTAAAGTAATCTTACAAATTTACAAAGCAGAAGTGTCTCATTAATGTTAAATCAAATTTGAAATTCAAAATATGATTGAACACTTTCTAAAACCCAATATACAAAGGAAACAAACACAGAAATTTGCTCCCTTCAATCTAAATCCCTCAGTATGGGTTTACTGTATTTATCCTGTCATAACCCCTTAGTTATTTTTCACATAAAGTCAAGAAATAGGCTTTTCACAGGAAAATGAAATAAGACTGGTTTAAAATTTAAGATACATTTACATAATTATCTCCCATTTTTCTATGACATCAAGCCATTATTCATGACGTCACATTGTTACCATGTAGGCCTACTGAGGTAGCAAAACTAATTGTAAAGTGTCTGAAGATTTGACATGAAACTGCTTATGTTTTACAGATCAGAAATGTTTCCAATGTTATTTTAGTTTTCTTTATATGTTCTGGACACTGCAAATCTATCTTTCTTACATATATATGGGCTTATTACCAGGCATGGACATATTACACTTTAATGAACTAATAAGAATTAAATTTCAATATATTTACCTTGTTCTAGTCCTATACATGGTAAAACATAACGTCTTGTTTTACAATAAACAAACAAACTTTGTCTAGGTCTAGGTGAACATTGCTACCATATCTTACCTCGCTGTAGCCAGCATGACTTCCGGAGGAATCTGCTGCAGGAAGGGAATCATCGGTCTGTAAAAGTTTTAATTAAAACACAAGAACAAAATTAATGAAACATACTAAAAGGCATAACCTGTGCTTCCATACCGACAGGTAAGAAAATATGCTCCCAGTGTCTACTGCAAGAGAAAATGACTTTAGCAGGAAAACAATACTTCCATAATCTTTTGAATTAAAATAAACTTTTGAGAAACATAAAATTACAAATAATGTGAAAAAATGAAACAGTGTTAAAAAATAAATAAATGTTACAGAACTTTCCAAACTGAATATTCTCTTTGCAAAACAAAAACGAAATATTAAAATATGGTGTTTCAAAAACAATTGCTTACGAAAAATGTTGTGAACAAATATATTACAAACCTCTTAAAGAATTTGTATCTATTTTGGCCAGCTACTTGTGCATCTGCAAAGTGCTTAGGTGGAACAACAACCGATGGATCATAATTAAACCTGTGAAATAATCAAGAGTGAAAATAATGTGTACATATCATAATCATAATGTGTAATGAAGTAAGTCTTTGGGGGGATTCTCATCTTATCATTATGAGCTGGTTCTTTAACTAAGCATTCAGTAATTTTCATGGCTATTTCTTTCAATTTTGATTTTTTCATCTTATTTAGTTAATTTCCTCACATTTGAAGTTTTATATTGGTTACTGCTACAACAATGGTATGGGATGTGTTGTACTTTGCAAACAATACATACTGTAAGAGGACACCCAAAAAAGTATAATAAGAATTTTATGTGTAAAAGATTGGGTTGTATTTGCTTTTGAGAAGAATTGACATCTATGTATGTTAAAGTCACTCAAAAGGTGGTATGCTTTATTCTGTATGTCAATTTTAACTGTCCTTATGATATTTAGTATTCAATAGTTTGATGTTATCAACAGCTGCAATCTTTCACATTTCTAATATATATTCTCTCTTGTCTCTAAATAACATTAAAGATATCTATGTCTTACGTGGTGTAGCGAATCATGGCCTCTCGCTGTTGTTCCGCATAACCTCGCCATTGTCGGGAAATAGATTTAGGGACAGGGTCAGTGACATCCAGTCGCATTTGAAAACGAGGATGGTGACGGAGCTCACTGAACATCGTATTGTATATAGGCACACGTTTCTGTAAACAAACATCAAATATCAACTGATACAGGTGTTTAATTTTGATGTACACCTCTACTACATTATCAGCAGTGTACAATTCTGCCATTCTTGCATGCAGGTCAGTTGATGAAATATTTATTTTGCACTCACTTCTTATCTTAGAAATATTGTCGTCAAACAACACATACACAAAGCCTTATCTTAATATAGTTTTGCTTTAAATTAGACATTTTCTCTTGGTAGAACTTAAGGTTGGGTAAAAATTTAATTTCACAAATTTCATTTGTTTAAGTATGTGACTAAATAACTCAGAAAATCCTGAGAATTCATCTCTGATGACAAGTTTGTAGTTACACCCTTGTATTATGCTGAATACTTACAACCCTGTCTGTGCTGGTATGGGCTTTGAAAGTAGCACGAGCATGATCTCTCTCGCTGGACACAACAAAGTGATTATCTATAAGAAAAAAATGACTGATAGATTACTGGTTTCTACAAAATAATGATTCACATAACATTATCAAAATCATCATAAGCATAATTAGAAATATTTGGCATGGAGGTTATTTAAATTCTAAAAACTAGCTGGAACATTGTCAGCTGCATGGTGATGAATACTATCTATCATTGACAGAATGATGACATATATTTAATTTTATATTACATTTTCTGTATATATGGAGGAATAATCAACTGCGATAATTATATTGCAAGTATGTATACTGTTCATGCATAAGTTGATTCAGAACTATATTAACTATTCTGATCAATATGCCCACCAGAAGAAAACTATCGGTGGATTTATTGTGACTGAATCTGTTGTGTGCAACACTATATCAATTGACCGATAATAATCTGACAGCATGTGGACCAGAAACTATCTCAGGTTAAAAATAAAGACAAGCCAAATTAAGATATGTATGAATCGACCAAAGCATAGAAATTATATTAGACTTCATATAAATAAGTGTTAGGAGCTTATAAAGTGACAACTTTGTCTCCACATATATTGTAAGTTATTAATGTGGATGAAAACAGCGATATAAATATGCTTATGAAACACACATTTATAATTTATTACGAAGATGCACTCCACAACATCAATATTAGCAGATATATGTTGCCATGCTAGTTTATTGTGCTATCCTCTTTCTAATATACAAATAATATTGCAAAATATGTTCCTGTCGTCAATGTAAGATTTTGTGAACACGGTTTACCGCGATTAAAAATGAGATTTCTCTTTAATTCACATACCATAAAGATAATCGTGTGTCCTAGCGGCTTGCCGCTTGATCGTTTGTGTCTGTGTTGCCATTTTGACTCCTGTTTTAGGATCCTAAGCGCTGTATTTATGTTGTTTTTCTTTCCATCCAACTTAGTTTGTGTACTAGTCCTCCATTACTAAAAACAAAATGGCGTCTCCATTTACATTGTCGTCATGGTGATTACAAAAAGAAAATCTATCAAAAATCTTCTAATGAAAAAACATATCCTATTCAACAATCATTATTTTTAATTTCGATGACAAAATTATAGCATTCTTACCGATTTATGATTTTATTATAAAAAACAGTGTCTGTAATTCTACAAAAATAAATTTTAAGCGGAATCCCGGTAAACAATTCCGGAAATATTAATATCCACAAAGCTGTTATAATTATCAAAACCTGTTTTGTTCATATTTATAGTAAATCGATACTAAATCGAAATATGCTTACAATGGATCAAAATGACGTAATAAATAATAACCTGTAAAATAACATGTAAGCAAGAGGAACTTTATTATAATATAAGGGAGGCCACTCTTACTACCCTAGCTACAGCCATACATTTCAAAAGGCAACTGATTTCCCGCCACCTGTCCAAATAGCTGTGGGAGGAATGCGTTTCGGTGCCAGTTTCTGAAGCCAATCACTGATTGACAGAATCGGTTTCCAGCTATCTATAAACATGTATGTATAATGTTTATTTATGCATGTTGCTCAATGGATTGAATTTTATACAAATATTTCGTATGCTGACTTACATCTAGTTACAATCGCATTGGTCTCAGAAAAATAAAACAAAATTACAGGCATCCAAAGTCTTAATTTTTCATCACCGGTAGGGATCTATGGAAGTTTTATTTGGATCACCAATCTCGAGCTCTCTTTTGGAGATCAGATTATGCTAATTTTATTATTCAATACAAGTTTTTTACCGATAAAAATCAAAGTGACAGCGAGTTAGCTAGACTCCATTACTCAGTATCGTCTGGACATCGGTTCCTGTCCGCCATATATTTCGGTGCGGCCTTTATGTAGAACTGTAACTAGAAATATTGACTTAATTATGTGACATAGAACCCGGATAATTTTGGTTGCTGTAACATGTAACGCTTCTATAAAGAAATACAAAAGTGATTATATTAATTCATCATAAAATATCATGAACAGTCGTTTCATTAGCAGATTTAGAAATTTTTCTCAGCACAGTTTTTTACCTGTCAAACATCTTCCCAGATATCATGAAATAGCCATTCAAGTGAGTTGTAGACTGGAGCAAAATTTATGGTAAAAGTTTGTGGATCGAAAAACAATTTATCCAAGAAATGTGGCTCACTTGTGAGAAAAAAAGATAAAAAATAAAAACGTTTAATCTTAGCCTTTAGAAATCCTGCCATTCATAAATATAGACACATTTTCTTGGTATGATTTTATTTTGATTTTTTAAAATCGAAATATCATTTCCTAAATGATGATTTTATGTAAAATTTGTGTACTTTTAGGCCATAGTAAGGCTAACTCAGGCATCTTTTTGATTGTGATGTCACCAGAAATGGAAATATAGACAAATTTCTGATACACATTTCAGGTGAGTGAATTTGAGGTCGTATTTGTGGATGTCTTTCAGAAAAATACTGGTGTTTCACTGATCACTTTATTGAATAGATTTCATAGTATGAACACATTTCAATATATTTATGTATTTGTTTGGTTTCAAATCATCAACATAGTATTGCTACCAAGATCTGATTAATAAGGATTGCGAAAATAATGTGACAAGGATACTGTTACCACTGAGAAATGGTTTGAGGACAATTCCTTTTCTGAAGGAGGATTTTGTCACTCTTAGAGACTAGCCTAGCTGCTTTCTTCTCCCAACGATTCGACTAGAGGTAACATTAAGTGGAAGTCTAGAAAGCCAGAGGTCCATACTTCAATCCCTATTAAGAGTCATTGAAGAAAAATGAAAATGAAATACATATTATTTTACTCAAAAGACCCATTGACCAAAAATTAAAAAAAAAAAAAAAGAAACGAAACAAAAACACACAACCAATAAACTTTCAACAATGGATCATTTATACAAACCAAAGGGGATGATTGTAGATGTTTAAGGCATTGTTTCTTAAAAATATAATAATGTTGTGAAATGACTTTATTTTTCTTTGTGTGAGCACTCTATTTAAGGGCTAGGTTTAACATTTTTATTGCTTGGGCATTTTAATTGCAAAGTTGCATTTCTTACTGAACTTTTTTTCATACTTTACATTTTTCAATTAGAATTCATATTTCATCTATGGGTCTACAACTCAATGATTGACTCAAAATAGAAATGACTCTTAAAAATGTAATTTTAAGTGGTATTTTCCACTAAAAGGATTTGCTTGTTTAAGAAAGAAGCAAGGAGGTGTAGATTATTATACTCCAAATATGAAAAAAAGAGATCAAGAAAAAGCGCACAAATTTGTCAATGAAGCATATACTTTTATTATTTTAAAATGAAGGAAATTATTTTCCTTCTGCAAGTGTTACAAGAGACTTATATAACAATTGCTGTGCTACACAGATGGCCACTCAAAAACACATAGTGGTCCAGAACTGATGTCTAGAAGATGAATTAGTTTCTGTTATTTAATGAGTGAAAATAGTCTATGAACAATTTAAAAGTTTTGCTGCTAATTTATATCTCAAATTGGACCAAAAAATAAGATTCTTTTTAAAGTTTAGGGAGGCTTGGATGTACATGTATTGCTGTAAAAACCACTTGTTTGATATTTAATGAGGTATTTTCAAATACCATGATCAGTGATGGACTATGATCAGATACAATCAATTATCTAATTGTTAAACCTCATCTGATCAGATGATCAATTGTAATTTTTCATTGTTTATTATCGGTACCATCATATTATCATATGTTTTAACAAAAATCAAATTAATATTATGCATAATAAAGATGCCAATTGTTAGTAATTAGGGCTCTCACACCCCATTTTGGAACTGGGGCTCGGGGCCCTTTGAATTGGGAAAAAATAATGGTGTTTTCCTTAGAATTGGGAAAACTTGGGGTCTAAATTGGGAAAAAAAGATACTATTTTGCATTGGGAATGGCCCAAAATCTGGCAGATCGAGAGCCCTGGTAATATATTCATTCTTATATAAATTTGAGGCAAGTAACATACATGTATTTTTGTTTTAAGTTACAAAAAACAAAACAATGAAGAGCACTTTCATTTTCTGTATTGAACACACAGTCAACCAATCATATCATTGATTTTAACCAATTATCAATTATGGATTTTGAACAGATTCTTCATCACTACCAGAAATTCAGATAATATTTGTCCTGGTCTTTTAGTTGATAACTGAATGAGAGTTATTTCCCTTTACACAGTAATTTTTGTACTTTGTCTGTTACAGTGAATTTTTTTCTTTGCGGTGTACTTAGTTACCTGATCTCATTCATCAAATTGTTGATTTTAAGATGAATGGGCTGAAATGGGTTTATGTGTTACAAGCAGACATTGATGTATTTAAAAATAGTAAATGTGTAAAATTCTGCCAAAAATTCCAAGTCTGTGTCATCAAACGGTTGATGGATACAAAAGGTAATTAGCATTAATTAAGCCTTAATTGATTTCCAGACAGAAATTTGATTCAAAGGATTCAGTGTTTACTGTTAATTATTGGTAAGGAAACCAGAAATATATATGTATATATTTTAGTAATAGATTTTAAATGTTATAAAGGTATGTACCAGGTATTTGGATGTAAGATAACATATCAAAATTATTCCTAATGTGGAAAAAATATCATTTCTTAGGAAATTGCATTTAATCATACAAGAAATATTTCTTTTAATTTCAAAATATCTTGGCATCTTTTCTCTTAATGAAAATTCTTCATGTAAAAATTTGATAAAATTTTAGCAATATATGTTTGATATGCGATGATAGTAGTAATTTTCATGTCATAGTACCACAACATTGATTTATTAGCATACTTAATGTGTTGCAATAATGGGGACAATTCATTACAATGTCAGCCTACGGTTTCAATAATATGATCTTATGTGAGATTGAAAACTCATTATTTTTTAACATGAATTTAAGTTACATTAGTGTTATGTATATATAAAAATTTGCAGTGAAACTTGTAAATCTGTTTCCCGTAGCAATATAGAAGCTTCCTGATATTGCCAAATTTGAAAAATTAAAAGAAAAATCTCCCTTGCAATTTAATAGTTACTGTGTCGGCGTCCCATCTTGAAAATCTATGGATTTCACCTACATAAAATCTTTGCACATTTGGGATATATAGCAAAATTTAAGACAGTACAGTCATTTGATGATAAACATCAAGAGATTTTCTTTCATGCTAAAATCATTCGTGTAATACATTTGGTATCAAGAAATTATTTCAGACCTTAATTATCTAAAAAGCTACACTTGGAAACTACTTTTTTGTTAAAGATACTCAAACAAGTGTTATACGTAAAGATGTGTTTGTGATATACAAGCATTATACTGCCTTTTAACGTAATCATCACTTCTACAAAATTACGTTGTTTGAAGATGTAAATTTTGATAGAACATGATTCAGACTAAAACTGTTTTATGTGTTTGATTTGATGGACAGATGATAGCAAAAGTATGTTTATAATGGGAGGTTACCAGGTGATGTGTCATTCCGGAGATAAAAATCTGATAGTTGTAAAAGCTCAGAACATCATCTTCCTTTAAAAGATAAAAGTGCTTGACTATTTTAAATATATTCAAAAGATTTTTGGTAGATTTGGTCCTGTACGAAGGTCTTTTAGTGTGAAGTTGGTATTTTCAGTGGCTTTCTCAACTTTGAATAAATGATGATAATTCTGACGTCAATTTTTAAAACATTAATTGGGACATTAAAAGTCGATAAAAGGTTTAAATGAAAAAGGAAGTTGTTATCAAAGCTATGACCATGAACGACATCATAATAAAACAGTTATTAACATAATGTATCACCTTGTGTGAAATATTGGGGCCAAACATAGGTAATTTTGTGTGGAGGGTGCTTTTGTGTTGATGGGTAGGAAATGGTGTGAAGCTATGTATTCC